GCAGAGTAAATCAGTTATATCATCAAATGAAATTACGACACTAGGGACACTGATACTAGAACAACCATGAGAGAATGAAGTAGCTTTGAAGTTAATGAATGAAAAGTCATTCCATCTCATTCTCAAAATATCCCATTGGAATGTCTGTGGAGATTCTCAATTATCCATGTCATGGTTGTCCCAAAGGTCCTTTTTCCAAAAGGCAACTGGATCTTCTTGTTCTTTTTTTTTTCTTTGAAAATGTTTTGCTTCTCATCCAAAAAGTTTCCTCAGAACTGTTCTGAAGCTTGGACGCTTTCAAGCTATGAAATACCTCTGCTTCTCTCACCTGCAGTTAATCAAAACTGGAAGAGGCAGTGGTGTCCCTGTCTTAGTTGTTCATAGCAAACTCCTAGGATTTGGAAATTTAGAACTTTGTTCACAATATAGTTAAAGATATGATATGTTAACTTTGATGCCTTTCTTGCTTGCTGTGCTTTTTTGTAACCAGATTCATGGAATTTATTTTCCAAGGTTCATTTTACCTTTTTTTGCAGAAAATGGTCATCAGTGTATTATTAATATCAGTTTTTAGCACTGTTAATATCACAGTGCTCATGGAGAGTATTTTATAGCAATTCATTGAAAAAAAAAGACAAACTGAAAGAGAAGAATGAAAAGAGGAGGAAGTTTTAACAGGTGCTAGAAAAATGTGTGCTATACAGATGGGCCTCCTGTTGGCATCTTCCTGTAAAACAATTGAGAGGGTAAAAAAGTCATGGGTCTATCATAAAATATGATTAGTGATAGATTTGTAACTATTTTTCTTTGTCTCTGAATCAGAGCACACACTAGAAAATACAACTCCAATTTTTATAGGTATTGTATTTAGATTTTGTTTAACTTAACAGAAGTGTAGATGAAACAGCTGCAGTACATCAATACAATGCATGCAGGTTGACTTTGGATAGAATTACTGTACAGCTACTAAAAGTTTAACTGGAAACATATCATTTTATTGACATCCAGATAAAAATGGACCAAGAAGTGCTGCTGCTAAAAAAAAAATGTTTAAATGCACTGGTGTCCAAGAGGGAAGAGAAATCACAAAATGTCATTATATGACGTAGAACTCATATCTTATTTAATTGCATCCTATGTAGATAATACATAAGGGCAATGTTTATGCTTGTGTTATTACAAACACACACACACAAACACACACACACGTGCGTGTGTGTGTGTGTGTGTAGGTAGGTCGGTAGGTAGGGAGATAGATAGAGAGAGAGAGATACACAAACACAAACACACACACACACACAATTTATGTATATATGCCTTCTCAATCTCAAGTCAACTACCAAAGGCTTGGGAGTTTGAGGATTCTATGCAGCATACTAGTTGTTCCTAGCATTCACCTTTCTGGACAGGAAACTCCTGAGATCTATTGGATCTTCCAGTTTAGAAGTTACAACAATGAGTACTCCTACCACCACTGGACCATTTTGTCTTTTACTTTCCCTATCATCTCCAGTTGGTCTTTCAGGCCCTGGTACTTCTCCAGCTTCTCATACTCTCTTTTCCTGATGTTTCTGTAATTTGGCACCAGTACTTCTACTTCCACTGCTGTCTTCTGGTCCTTAATGACCACTATGAAATCTCATGATGAGTCAGTATTTGCCTGCCAATCAACCAGACATCATGGATCTGGAAGTCCTACTGAATCCTAGCCCTGTTATTCTTTACTACCTTTTGTGGAATCTCCTATGTGGATTTGGAATGGTCTAGCTTGTACAGATGTTCCAGTATAAAATGCCAGTTCTAATATTTCAAAATCATTGTATCCCAATCATAAATACATCAATCCTTTTAAGGTTAAAGGTTCTCCAATCCTATTCTGGTTCTCAGCTCAGTGCAAAGAATTGGTTTCTTCTTTCAGAACTTTTAATTAATCGACATGAAAACCATATACCATATAGGAATAACTATTTTTATACCATACTGTTTGCAGCACAACATAGTGTTGGATATCAGGTTAAGAGCTTTTAACTAAGATGACATCTTAATTATGGTATGGCATCGACATCATGATTTATTTATGAGAACTCTATTCTTCAGGTACCATAAGAATGGCTTGGATTGTGTGTTAATGTTTATCATCCTTGCATTCATCTCTTCATGTTTTATGATTTTATTGTGAATCCATTTTAACAGTTGTATTATTATAAAACTTCATATTTTTTTAGAAAGAACAAAGAATGCTCTTCAGCTCCTACTATTAACATCTTATCAATGTCATGATTTTGATTGTGCAAATATGGTATTTCATATTCAAAATTTATTCAGTTTAACCTAGTACTTAAACTTTCTCACCAAAACATTAATTCAGAAATAGGTTATTCAAATCACTTGTTTAACAAGAGCACAAATCAAGACCATTCCTTTTGCACAAAAACACCTGCAGTTATCAATCTGAAATTAAGCAGACACAGGGAACTATTCTTTCAAATTGAAAGGCCCATAATTGTTATTTTTAAAAATGGACTCAGACACAAAAACATCTGCAAATATTTTTTTTCTGAGACAGATTAGCATTATCCTTTCAGAAATATCTACTGGGAAGAAAATACAGCAATTTGAAAATTACCTACCTGGATCAAGATCTATGATTGATGTACAATTCTAAAAAATAAATAGAACTTGCATAATAATTTCTCCTCTATCATGTCAACAAAAGAAATGTAATTATAACCATAGCTTGTAATAAATAATAGTAAAAGAACATTAACATCATAAATACACACCAAACATTAGTTTTATTTGACGATAGTGATAATGTATTAAATGCAAATTTAACAAATAAATTATTTCTTTTTCTGTAACTGCAAATAGATTTCTAGACATAGTGACCGTGTGCATTTTCACTTTTTATTTGGACAAAAAATACAAAGCCAAATTCTATTACTCTAAGGGAAAAATGTAGCTGGGTTTAACTATTAATCCAAACATTAACTTTAACACAAGCCCAGTAAAAGTTCATTAAAAATTATGGGTGTTCAGGAACTAAAAGCTCAATGAGATCATGCTTAGAAAGTAAATAAGAGGGTGTATTTGGATTTAGGGTGGGGATATTGTTTGGGAAGAATTTGGGAATTTGCATTTTTTTTATTTGGTCCTAAACATTCACAACATACATTGTGCAAGGAAATCAAAGCCATAATCCATGAGGTGGTTGGTGCATTAAGAAAAATAGCACCCCAATTCTTACCTCCAAACCCTTGTTTTTAGTTTAATTTTTGTAATTCTAAGCTGTTTTTATAGTTACAATTGTAAAATGTTTGTGTTTTATTGTTCTGTAAGCCACTCTGATTTGCCTTGAACTGTGAGATGGATAGATTCATATTTATTGTAATTCTTCAAGGGTTTTATCTAGTGAACATTTATTTTCAGTCTCTCAGGGGCACAGAAGGGTTAGAATTTCATATCCCGTATATTGCAATCCATGTGATAGTATTTTAGAAGTTATTTTCAAAATGAAACTTGGGTTTCATTTCCTTCTCTCCTATGTTTCAATATGTAGTTTGTGGTATTGAAGTTCCTCTAAAACTTCTAGATTATCTACATAATTCTGTACAAACATTTCAAAGGCTGTTTTTGAAGAGTGCACCTTTATTTTTATAGAAGTAAATATTCAAACATTGAGATTTCAGTTTGTGTGGCTAATTGGCATTATCTAGACCAGGGGTGTCAAACTTGCAGCCTAGATGTGTTACATACTGGTCACACCCACCCCTGTTTTAGCGAAGGGGGAGATGTCATATGTCACATGATGACAATGTGATGATGCAAGTTTGAGACACCCTTGGTCTCAAACCTGCAAATATTCTTTCAAATTAAAAGGCCCATAATTGTTATTTTTAAAAATGGACTCAGACACAAAAGCATCTGCAAATTTTTTTTGCAGCCTGCTTTGAACTCCTTTGGCAATTGCTTTACTTGTTCTTTCCACATAAAGAATGAATTAGCAGAGAAGCAGCTAAAAAGGACAGGTGGTTTGATTCCTCATGCATAATGGAATAGCAATAGCACTTAGACTTGTATACCGCTTCATAGTGCTTTGCAGCCCTCTCTGAGAAGTTTACAAATGTCAGCATATTGCCCCCAACAATCTTGGTCTTCATTTTACTGATTTAGTAAGGATGAAAGACAGAGTCAACCTTGAGCCAGTGAGGATCAAACTCCTGGCAGTGGGCAAAATCAGCCTGCAGTACTGCATTCTAATGACTGCGCTACCACAGAAGAGGTGTAGTAGTTATAGTTTTTCAACTTTTGTTTTTATATTTCATTCAAAGATGTCATACTGGAACTGTTTGGGATTTGTTTTGCTATTATTTTTTACTTTTAGTTTTCTTCTCATGTCATCAATTTTTGATTTGTTTGTTGGGTTGTAGCTGTTTAGTCTCTAACTCGTATCTGACTCTTTGCAACCCCATGGACCATAGCATGATAGGAACTTGTCCTCTTGTTCTTTCCCATTATTTCAGTATCAATCTATCATATCTGAAGGCTTTGTGAGACTTTAGGGATTTGGTTAGATTTAGAATATCTCTTTCAAACAGTGTGTTTATTAAACAGGATTAAAAGTTAAGAAATGTGGATAGGTTATTTACCTAAACAAATAATCATATGAAGCATAGCAGGAAAGCTTCTGCTCATTGCCATCTTCTTGTGATACATTTTGAATGAACAAATATTGAGATAAATATGGTTGCATGGCCTTATCAAGAATTTTTGTTCTAAAAGCACATTAGGAAACAATCCTTATTTATAAAAATTGGGGAAAGTTGCATAAAATTGTCCACTTAATAAATTATTACATTTTATATAAATTATTATATAAAGTTGTATAATTTACAACTTTTCCCAATTATTTGCAAGTAGGCAATATTCAGATTTAGCATCTTAAAAGAAAATATTATTTTGTGATGGAATTATGCATATATATTTTCACTTCTTTTCAGAACTTTCCTATGCTTGGATCTTCAATGAATACCCAACGTTTGTGCAAGAAGATAGTCGGAGATTTGTTTCTCAGGAAACTGGACATCTGTACATAGCTAAAGTAGAGCCATCTGATGTAGGAAATTATACCTGTGTCGTAACTAGTGCTGTAACTAACACCAACACTCTTGGATCACCAACACCTTTGGTGCTACGGACTGATGGTATGCATTTATACTACTGTGGTGTAGTCAAGTGTATATGGTTTTATTGCCTATATTAATTTTTGGAAAGACCAATTGTTTGGATATGTATAATTTTGAAACACTGTAAATTTCCATAATATTTACTGTTGTGTTTTTTTTATAGAGAATATTGTACCTCCTTATTTCTATTTATAAATAACTTCAATTGTAGCATGTATAAATTAAGTGTGGGAATTTTTCACTGTGCATAATACTCACAAACACTTTACCATAACCAATTAATGTCAAGGAATGATAGAATGCAGCAGATGAAACATCACCTGCAAATTTTATTACCAGTGCAAAGGTCTAGAGCAGGAATAGGATCATATGGAAAGAAACTAAGTTTGCCAACTCTATGGTTGATTTTTACTTACTTTCCTTGTTTATGGAAAGGGAGGGCCTTCCTTACTCTTCCTTCAATACATTTTTCTCCCTTCACGACAACCACCGTAACCACACAAATCCTTGATGATGGGAATTCAGAGATACCCAGATGTGCATTTCCATACACCAAAGAATTGTATACCAATTATGGTTTGTCATTTATACTAGCTGTTATTTCTATGTGTATAATAAATTATTTTTTACACTTATTCAAAATTGCATTCAAGATTTGTAACAGTTCATCAGAGTTCTGCTGCCATTTCATTTTTACAGGCAGATGTGTTTGTACATGCATGAAATATCAAGAAGCAGTTGTGATGAGAACCTTGAAAGTTACCTAGTTAATCGTTACATTTTCCAGTACGCTGCTTGGAGAGTCCAAGCATGGGTTAAACTTAGCCAATCTGCCCAGACTGAATTGAAACTTTAGCCATGCCTCTGATATTGCCTTAACTTGCCAGATTTTCAATTCAGGCAAAGCCCGGTGGACACGTTTCAGTTTCATTTGTCCTTTTCAGATTGCCTGGACTCTCTAAACTTCATTTTATTTTGTTTTGTCTTTTTTTCTGATAATTTTTGAATTTCCCTCCAATTTCTTCCAATAGAGAGCAGGAGCTGTGAGAAGTACTTATTAAATTCCTGTCTTTTCTCCCCTCACCATTCTGACTCCCATGGTGTCCCGGGCTCGCTTGGGTGCTGTGGAGGTCATTGGCAGCTGCCGGTGGAAGCGTGGGGTCAGAGTGCCGATGCCCACACGATCGTGCCACTTATTAGCCTGCGATCGCTTTTTTCCGGCAGGGGTTTTCCTCGCCGACAGGAAGCTATATACAGTGGATGCTGGTCTTGAGGACCTACTGAAGCTGCCCCCTGTGGATGCGCCAGTGGCTGCACTCACTTCTTCCTCAGTCCTTCCTCCCGACCTTCTGAAAGGGCTCAAGGCAGAGGACAAGAGAGCAGAGAAGGCCTGCCATAAAACTCATCAGGCAGCTGCCTGGGTGATTAAGACGTCCGGCTCTGCTTCCTTCCTCTCCAGAGCCTCTTTCCTCTGGCTAAGACTTACTTTCCAAAATCCCAGGTGGGGATAACAGACTCAGACAGGATGTCAATAAAATTAGTGTGGCCACTGAGTATACGGCAGATGACACCTTGAATGCCACCAAGTTTGCTTCTAGAGCCATAGCTTCCAATGTTACCACCAGTTGCCTTTTATGGCTCAGACATTGGAATGGAGACATGAGATCCAAGTGGAAGCTCGCTTCTGCTCCATTCAAAAGCTTTTTGGGGAGCCTTTGACCCAGTCCTTATAAAGAATAAGGACAAAAAGAAGGTCTTGCCTTCAGTCACCAAATAATATGATCATAAGGGTTCCAACTTTAATAGAAAGCAGCACTTTCGGGCTTCAGATCAACCTTCCACATCAGGCTCCTACCAGAAGTCCTACTCCCAGAATGCTGGCAGGTCTCAGGACCGTCAGTCCTTTCGAGACAGAGGCCGCCAGCAGAACTACTCCAAGCGGCCCTTCTGTGGGGGGGGTCTGGTTCCAGACCGTTCCACTGGTATAAATGACTACCATCGGAGGGCTCCCATAGGAGGGTGTCTCTAACTGTTCAACGCCCAATGGGAGCACATCACATCAGACCAGTTGGTCCTGCAAATGACCCACATAGGTCTGACATTAGAATTCCTTTCCTCCCCGCCCCACCACTTGGAGCCAACCACCAGATTACAGCACCTCGGCGCCATCATAGACAAAGTTGCGTGCCAGGTCTCCCTGTCCTACGACCGAATGATGAGCATCAGGTCGCTTGCGCAGCAAGTTAATCAGTTGTGGCACGTTCCAATT